AAAAATGGCTAACATGATATCTAGCATATGGTGAGTATTCAATAACTGATATTTTATCGTGAACAACACACCTTATTACAATAAGTGTGGTACTGATGTGGAAGACATATGGACTAGAAAATGGTTTTAGATATCATTGATGTATGAGCAGTGGTCAAAGGCATAATAATCGAGGAGACTGGCAAGTGTATATTACCAAGATCCAACCCAACTGCCACAGTTCAGGCAGCACAAGCATGGAACAACATTAAGTAAACGCATTTGCACATTGTGTGGAAGGTGGTAACTCTGGGGAAGTAGAGAACGAATTTCCCTAAAGAGGGAAACTGCTATCTGCCTGTGATGCCTGTTGCCATGTCAAAATTGGGCCCAGCATCACCAGATTGCCTGTTTTTGTTTTAAAAACTAAAACAAAAAAAACAAAAATCAGAAATTGCCCAATGCTTAAATGTTGGCATATAAATTTAACTTAACAAATAAAACATATACATAAGGTTAGACTGTAGCTTTTAATGTCAGCCGGCTGGTGGCATGGTGGTTAAGACAGCTGGATCCCACATGGCCAACTGTGAGGTTCAAGTCTCTGACTTGAAAATCACGCCAGGCACATGTGCATGCATGCCCAAAATCCTGAGAGAAGACTGGAGGAGAAGGGATGGCAGTGTGACCATCCCTCCTAAGGGTGCTTTCTCACTTTCTCTCTCTCTCTCTCTCTTTCTCTCTTTCTTTGACAAGCACATATAAGCTACAGCAAAATTATTTTAAAAGAAAGAAAAAAGGCTGAGAGTAGATCCCTAAAGAACACTGCCAATAAATGGGGTAGACAGCAGAAGAGGAGGGGTGATGAGACTTTGCTATATATACATAGCAAAGCCAGACTTGGTCCACTCAACCATGCCTTGGACATAGATCTGATGGCTGAGATTGGAGGCAGGTAAGAAACCAATTCTTTCTGTCCTTTTCTCACTGGAGAATTAGCTAATCAGAACCTAGAAAAGAAAAGATGGCTAAATAAAAATCTCTAACACTCTTAATAGTAGTGAATTCTGAGATCTTTTATTTGTTTTCATGTAAATATCAATATTATTATTAGCTACATTATTATCAATATTAATACTCTAAGAGCAAAAAAACAAACAAACAAACAAACAAAAAAAGTAAATACAAAATTATGGCTTAAAATATGAGTTGGGGCCAGCAGGTGGTGGGGTGGTTGAAGGCACTAGATTCCCACATGGCTAATGGTGGTTCAAGTCCCAGACCTGGTGGCTTGCTTTCTTGCTTTCCTTTGCTCTCTCTCTCTCTCTCTCTCTGTCTCTCTCAAAATAAAAAATAATAATAACAAATAGAATTAAATAAATAAATAAACCTTTTAAAAAAATAGAGAATGTTCCCAGTGTACTGAAGATCAGATTATGATTTCCATCACAATTGGAATCCCTTAAGCATTCTTTAAATAGAACATCATTAAGTAACATTTGGTAACTACCCTTAATGGAATCACTGAGACATCTGAAAGAAACTGTTAGCTTGTCCAGAAAAATAAATTCCATATAGTGAAAAGGAAGGTTACACCTTTTGAGTCATAGCAACTAGTACACAGGCATTTAATACATGCTCTCACATCTAACATTTTGAACATAGAGTCCAAACTGATAGACATTTAATATTCCTCCTACTTAGCATGAGAGGAAATCAGGATTCAGAAAAAGAAAATTAGGCCAGTCAGTGGTGTGGTTAAGGCAAATGGATCCAGGATTCAGAAATGGAAAATTAAGCCAGTCAGTGGTGTGGTTAAGGCAAATGGATCCCACATGGCTGACAGTGAAGATTAAGTCCTGGGCTTGGCAGCCTGAAAAATACATGGGGCATGTGTGTGTGCCCAAAATCCCAAAAGAAGAAAAGATGGAGGAAAAGGGATTGTGGCATGACTATTGCCCACTGGGGAGTGGTCTCTCACTTTCTCTTTCTTTTTCTCTCTTCAGGAGATCACATGCACATGTGGTCATTTTTTAAAAAGAAAGAAAAAGTTATTTGCCCAAGGTCTCCTGGCTAATAAGTGACAAATTTAGAAAATTGATCTCCCAACTTCTCACTCAATTCTCTTGCCACAAAACACTACCTTATAGAGACTTAGTTATCCATTGAAGGACATGAGGTAATGGGACTGAGACACAGAACACATATTTTGTGGGTGGAAGGAGGGGAACGGGCTGCTACATGGCAGACATATATCCATCTCTTTGTGACTGAAAGAAACCAGCCTGGGAAGAGTAGGCCAGGTGTCCCCATGGGAAATAAGTACCTGTGAGGAGGGACCATGACACCAAAGACAAACAACCTACAGAATAATTATGTTGCAACCCAGCATGTACACTGTACATTCATGAGAAACACTGACAGAAATTCCAAACTTAACAAAGTAGGCATACATTTTAAAAACATTACCTATAGTCATAAACATTTACTTTTTAGATATCGCTTCCAACTTCAACTTCACAGAACATAGTCAATAATAAAAAGAGAAGTAAACAGTGTACACATGTCAATCTCCTGAGCAGTCATGACAAAGCACACAATATCTTGCTCAGAATAAAAATAATTCATGTAAAACATTTAGCCCAGTTTCTGGTCCTTCATAAATGTTTAACTGTGACTATGATAATGTGAGTGCCTTGACAGCCACTCAGTGTCTTAAATTTTATCTTATGCACAATTTCTTTTATTTAGCATGTTTATTTAGCTTCTTTTTTTTTTTCTTTTTTTTTTTTCTGGAGAGGTTTTTGCTCTAGGGCGCATGCACTCGCCAGAAAGACAGAGAGACAGAAAGCGAGAAATAACCCCCCAGCGGGGATGGCCATGCCACAATTCCTTCTCCTCCATTCTCCTCTTGGGATCTTGGGCACACACACACACGTGTCTGGCGTGAGTTTAAGCCACCAGGTCCAGAACTCAAACTGTGGTCGACTACATGGAAGTCCAGCAACATAGCCATTATGCTAACTGCTGGTCCCTATTTAACTTCTTTCCATAACATATGTTGAAGTAGAAAGGTGGAAATACATTTGGACATAGACACAGAAGAGGAAATAGGAAAACATCAAACAGGAAAAAACATCCAAATGTAACTGAGACCATTTAGTGTAGGGGCTTACAGCAGCTGTCCATATTTCTGGAGATGCTAGAGATAATCATTGCATTGCAACACAGTACAATTCTATGATGACTCAAAATCATCCAGAAAGATACCCTAATGTGTTGTGTTCTCTACTGAAAATATCAGGGAAGAGTAAGCCAGTACCATGGTGGTTAAGGCAGTTATATCCCACATGGCTGACTGCACAGTGCAAGTCCCAGATCTGCTGACTTGAAAAACACACTGCCTTAGGAACCAGCAGTTAGCATAATGGCTATGTCGCTGGACTTCCACGTAGTCGACCATGGTTTGTGTTCCAGACCCAGTGGCTTAGAACTCACGCCAGGCGCGTGTGCGTGCATGCCCAAGATCCCGAGAGGAGAAGGGATTGCGGTGTGACCATCCCCTCTGGGGGGTAATTTCTCGCTTTCTGTTTCTCTGTCTCTCTGTGTCTGTCTGGTGAGCGCACGTGCCCTATAGAGAAAACCTCTCCCAAAAAAAAGAAAAGAAAAGAAAAAAAAAAGAAAAACACACTGCCTATGGGGACATGTGCACCCAAAGTTCTGAAAGGAGAAATGGAGGAGAAGGGATTTTGGTGTGACCATACTCCATGGGAGAAGGAGTGTATTCTCACTTTTTCTTTTTCTCTTTCTCTCTCTCTCTTTCTCTCTCTCTCTCCTCTCTCCATGGTTGAAACACACACTCTAGCAATTTCTTCAATGGCAAGAAAACATTTGCTAAAATTTGTACATTATTAAAAGTATTAAATTTTGTAGGGCTGGCCCCCATAGCCTAAAGGAGATTAATGGAAGTTAAAGGAGCTGGATCCCACATGGCCAACTATGGTTGAAATCCCAGCCCTAGCCTCTTGGAAATCACACCAGGAATGTGTGTTTGCATGTCCCAAATTCCAAAGGGATAGAAAAATAGAGGAGAAGGGATTGTAGAGTGACCATATCCCACTGGAGAGATGTGTTCTGCCTCTTCCTGTCTGTCTCTCTCTGGTGAGTGCATGTGCTCTCTGGCAATCAAAAGGAAGGAGGGAAGGGGGATTTTTAATATGTGAAAGTTTTAGCACAGAGAACATACAAATCATCTGGAAATTTGACATAAAAAGTACCAAATTTATTCAAAATGCTATAAGCATGATACATTTATTATATCAAATTAAAAGGGGACATTTGAACTAAGCACAAGTCTATCCTACTCCCTTGAAGTCTTGGTATTAGCTGATTATTTGTTCTTACAGTTTCAAATATCAATGTGAGATCATATGTGATATCGTGCTACTGGGAGACAAAGACAATTATTTTTGACAAGGTGCAATAATTTCTTAGTGCCCTTTAACATAGAATTGCATTTCATGATAGAACTACTTCATTTTGGGAAACCAGCCGTGTGGCTGGTATATGTGTACAAGACATTTGCCAAGTGTGTATCTCAGCATAGGCAGGAGGGTAACTGTTGCTTTGCCTATCTTTGCCAAAGAATGTGTTTTCCTTCCCAGACTCTTAAAAATCTTATTGATTTTATTTTAATCCTAGAACCCGGTTTACTACTATCCTATGTGATAAATATAACCTTCCCAATAAATTAGCTCAGTCTCCCTGTATAAAAAAAAAAATCTCTGTCTTAAATCACTGATTAGATTTTTCATAGCATCACACCCCCAGAATGGGTCTTTGAAGGGAAGTTTCTATGAAATATGGCTGGGGGATGGGAAAGCAAAGAGGTTTAAAAAAAAAAAAAAAAATGGGTTAAAAAAAAAAAAAGAAAGAAATGAAGGAAGGAAGAAGGGAGGAAGAAGATAAAACAGGAGGAAGAAAATGGAAGAAAGAAGAAAGAATGAGAAAGAAAAAAGAGAAAAGAAAGAGCAGAATACACAGTATTTCTTAGTCATCTTTTGATTTTCACAGGTTGGTTTTCATTTTGAACTCCTGTCAGAGAGAGGTATTTAGGCAACAGATCGATAGCAGCCAATTTAACCTTGAAGAGGCTGCTTTGGCTGGTGATTGGCCACACCATGTTCAGCTGATTCTCAGCCCCACTCCTTGCTGCTCTTCATTCTGACAATGCCACACATTTCCAGGAAATGGCAATCAAGTGCCTTTTTCAGTAACATAAGTTTATTATGGATATTGCCCAACCAACAGGAACATTATGTCTTGAAGAAACGGCTGCTGTGTGTTCCTTCTCCACATGAGGCCACGTGGGCCTGAGGCAATTATAGGGGATAAAGGTGAGGTAATTTCTAACATATAAGGATAAATAAGGTTCGTTTGTATGTAAAATAAGTTTTAAATATCCCTGAGTGGGAGGGCAGGATCTACTTCTGGTCACATCTCCCGTGCCATCCCAGATTGATGTCCTGTCCATCCCAGCTTGAAGCTCCATGCTGGTAACTGGTTTCAGGAGCTGCCATCAGATCTTCATGGGACACAGAATTCATCATGACTTTGATGGATGAGTATCAATTCTCCACCATTCACCCTGAGGTCTTCGCAGGAAATACCATGAGTGGTCACATTCAAGTAGACTTTGTCTTTGAAACCCAGATGGGCCACCAGGATGGAGTTGACAGAAGTGACATTCTTTAAGGAGAGGAGGGGCTCACCATCTTTCCGGTGGTTCAGGCTGATGTTGAGTTTCTCGGAGAAGTAGCCTTTCAGGGAGATGAGGTAAAACCCATCACACTTGACAATAATTGAGTTGTTTTGCACCTTCATGGTTTGATTCTTTTTTTGGGATGTAAGAATGAAACCTTCCCCCTTCTCACACCCTAAGGAGGGTAAAGCAAGAAAAAAAAAAAAATCAGTGATTTTTAGGCATAGCATCAGGCAACAAACTTCCGATATGCCTAGAATCAGATGAAGAGGGGGTGACTGGAAAGATTTTGAAGAGTGAAAGTGAGCAAGCACTGTGCTTCCCCCTGTGGGTAGGAATCTGTTTTACCTATGGGACAGAAGACGCAAAGCTAGTACTTTGCGGTCAAAAGTGTCTCAGATAGAGCTAGATTCCGGAGCTGAGGGATTGTAACTGTCACAACAGACCGGTGGCAGGAAAGGTAGCTTTCAACTTTCCTTCATTTTTCAGAACCAGGAGGGATTCTGAAACTTTGATGCTTCATTTCTTACTCAGTGGAAAAACTGCAGCAAAGGGTGCCCTAGCTCTGGTCCTGCACACTACCCCCATTTTGAAGCTTGACTCAAAGTAATTGCTTTTAACTGTTTCTGAACCTCTCTCCACCTGACCACAAAAATGCAAATTTGCCACATGCCCCTGGGCATTGGACTTACCAACAGTGTTTACTATCTACCTTCACAGGCAGTTGGGTAAACTTAATAAAGATCTAAGCACAGAAATGTCTGCGTGTTCTTGATGGGTTCAATAAGAGGTAGGTGGGAGAGCTCAAGGATACAGACTTGTTCCTCCTAGAAGGTAACTTGGGAAGACCCATGGCCTCAGGAGAAAGAAAAGGAAGAGTAGGAGAAGGCAGAATGATAGTGCTTTTTTTTTTTTTTTTTTGAGAGGGTTTTGTTTTTGTTTGTTTTTTTGTTTTTTTT